TGGGCGGAGAGGATGACGGATGAATTTCAAGGGAAGTATATGCAATTACTAGATAAATATAATAATGCTTTTCCTCTTACAAATAAGAATTTGACTTTAGATATGCAAAGCTCATGAGATTTGTTTTTCATCATGTAATTTAGTTGAAGGGGCCAGAGTGGGCAAATATCATTAGATTTTTTTGTTTTGACAGAATAAATGAAAAGAGCAGAGGCAGGTATAGGGGGAGAGAGTAGCTGCACATTGGCATGCGGCTATAGGAAACTTCCCCCAAGCCACAGTCAATTTATTAGACTCCCTAGTAGCTGCTATATGACATGAACAGTATGTGATTGAGGGGCCACGTGTTGCAACATGTGTTTTCAGTCACTGGTTAGTTTTTATCCCACCTACTCCCATTCAAAATCCGACACATACGTTTTTAATCAACTAAAAAACGGCTTTAATCTATACAATAAGATCAGCACAGCAATCAGCGGTTAAGAGATACAACTCCACGGGACAATGACTCTGAGTGTTTGAGCTGTAAACCTACCCCAACACTAATGCTCGAGGCACTTCGCACGACGGCACTGTGGGCTTTGAAGAGCGGTGAGTAATCTTACAATAACGTGGGGCATTTCACATTGCAGTTTCATAGAGCAGCAGAGGGGCAGCGAGGGGAACCAATGAACACAGCAGGAGACCTACGAGCGTCGGTGAGAGGAGAGAAGGCAGGGGGAAGAAGAGGAGAGAGGTATGTGTTTGTCTTTACACTCAGGAGATTTGAACACATCTCCCCACCCTGGCTTTCTTTGACCTCCCACTAAGTCGGCTGGGCCTCTCTAACTCCTGCAAGCCGCCGAATGCGTTCCCTCCAGCCCCTCGCTCCTCCTCTCTCGTCTTTGCTCTGCCATACTTCCATATAAACAAAAACGTGCGTGATCTCCCTCAGCCCTATTCCCTCTCAACTCCTTCCTCACGTCTTTGGGCTGTGTCCCCATCGTCTTTCATCGCTTTCTCCTCTTCTTCTCCCTCGTAGACCCCCGTCTCACGTGTCTCTCTCTCTACCGCTCCCCCCCCCACTCCACATTTTCAGTCCATTCCTGTGGCCTCTCCCCACAGGCAGTGATGCAATCCTCTGACTCCTGCGCGCAATCACAGGGTCTGGATTTGGCTCGCCAGCTACAGCAGGGGCGTCACCGCACCATGCTCAGTAGGAAAGCAACAGGAGAGGAAAGAAAAGAAGACATGAAGCCAACGAGAGAGGAAAAACTGTCTGAGACTGTCAGAGTGGTGGGTCATAGAGGAAAAAGCACCGTGATAAAAGTTAACAGCTCTGTTTTACAGTTTGTGCATTTTCACAACTTAACTTGGGGTAAACATGTTTATGTTTTATGTGCATGTGGTGGGGTGCGTGGGGGTTATTATGACTCTTCTTTTCTTTAAGGTACGGGAGGAACTTTTGAATGGATTTGATTCTGGAAGGCAACGTCCCAGCTCGTTGCCGTCTCATCAGCCCACTAACCAGCTGCGTCCGTTTTGCTGGGGTTGCTGGATGGGGTCTGTGTTTTCGGAAGTGATGGTTCTTTGCTACTCCCACACAAAATGCTGTCCTTCCAGCTGACTCACACCACCATTAGCATTATTCTAACAGCTATACTGGCAGTATGAAATCCAAGTGATATCTTCTGGAGGTGTAGCTTTGTCAGATCCGGCATTTGAACGTAATCTCTAGAAGTTACACTTTTCCAAACAAAAGTGTCATTTTCTCCATATTTCATTGCTGTGGGGCAGTACAGGTGGCACGTGTTACCACTGTGGTGTATAATGGATAGGCAGTGGTATGCTAAGCCCTGTAGAGACGCATGCATGCAAAGAGTGATCTTATCAAGCAAAGTGCACTTACACAGGGATGGAAAGGGAGGTTATAGGATTTTATAGGGCCAAGCTTAAAGCTGAAACCTTGTGATGCCCATGTGCAGATGTGCATGCATATATGCACGCACACGTTCGCCCCTGGTTTGCCGGCTAAAGGCAGCAGCAATGAGGTCAGATCAGGAATGCAAAGCACTGGCACCTGCCTAAATCTTTAAAATTCCAGGTTCTCTCAGCACACACGTACAAACAAAAGGCCACTCCCTAAATCCCAGGGCAGGGTTTAAGCCTGAAGAGAAATGGCTTCAGCCCAAAAACGAAGCACACAGGTGTGCACCCCAAAACCTAATGATGTATGAAAGTATGCCCCTGAATAACCACCACAACTTCAAGCTGCTTTCACAACATAACTGAAGGCGCTGCGGTTGAACTCAACGGGAGATGTCTTGGATTTTCCCTCACTGGTGAAAACACAGCACCAGTTCTAAGCCACTGGGTAGGAGGGAAAAGGTCCAGAATTCTCTTTTTCTCTCTCTCCCACACAGTTAACAGCAAGCTGAGGGCAGATTAATAGGGGTGACATGGTGTATGGAAACTGTGGTAAGATAAGCAGCAAACCCGGGGTATATTTCAGCACCAGTTGCTGGGCCAATGACAACTTCAAGAATCCGGGAAAGCCATTCAGTACATGCACACATAAACACACTGATCGTACAGCCGTACAGACTGTGCATACGTGTATTAGTGTACAGCATGCTGTCTGTGTATTGTGGAGTTCAGACCAGTTCAGAGCACTGTGGTACCGCTCCAGCTTTGGGAGGGGTGCGCCTGTCTCACAGCCATTTCCTGGACGGGAATATTATGGCACCACACGCATGAGAAACAAACCCCTTTCGCCTTTACACGCTGACCCCAGCCACTTTCATTTGCTTGCAACTCAATAAGCCACCGGCACATAGTGAACTCCCCGGGAAGCAAGTCTTCTCATTCAAAAGCCGCGGTAATACGATCCCAACAACAGCTTTATGCAACACGGCCTCCGGGAGGCTGGGGGGCTACACATGGGTTGGGGTGGTGGTTTTGCTCTCTTCATCGCTGTGCGGTGTTGCTGAGGCCAATCGGACACGTCTATGTTGTCGTAACTCTTCTACCTCTTTTCCCCCACAATTTCTGGATGGCCCCTCCCTGTCCCCGGAGAGGGTTTGGTCACACCTGTGCACCAGCTTCGCTGCTCAGGACAGAGGGCCAGATGTGCTTTGGACAGGGAGTGTCTCCGTTACTGTGTGTTTGTTAACATGTGATTCTAAATGTGTGCACATGTACAGAGAGAAGTCACAGGACAGGGTCTCAGCTTCCAAAACATAAAGAAAAGCATATTGAAAGGGGAAGAAAACAGGAAGAGGGAGAAATACAAAACAGCAGGCGGAGTGACGTGATGTGTATTTGTGCGAGTGCGTTGCGGGGGAAACACACACTGCAGGGTGATCAAGGAGCTCCTGCTTCTTTAAATTTGGGTGTGCCCCCCATACTGTGTGCTATAGCTCCATTTCAGCCCCCTCTGCCTCCCTCGCCATGATCTCACATATATGTATATATATATATATATATATATATATGTACACACAAAGCAGGTGTTGTCTTTTCCTTGTGAGGCTGTGCCAACTAAACTGTGTTCTCCCTCCTCACATGGAGCGCCTGCTTTCTCTGAGTAACCCTCCGCCCCGGCGTGTCCCCTCCCACCAGGGCTGGCATTGAGACAAGGTCAATATGACGGTCTTTTCTCCCTTTATCTCCCTCCCTCTCCCTTTTTCTTTCTGTATTTCTGTGTTCTAGCTCAACTAAGTGACAGGCTCCACCCTACAGCTTTTATCTTTTGCGGCTCCATCAGAGAGAGAGAGAGAGAGAGAGAGAGAGAGAGAGAGAGAGAGCGAGAGCGAGAGCGAGAGAGAGAGACAGATGCAAAGGGACAGATGGAGGGCGAGTGAGATGGCGACAGACAGAGTTGAGCATAATGCTGTAAAATGGAGTAGCACTAAACTCTTGATTTGAATTTGTTGGCGTGTGTGTCATCTGTTGGAAACAAGCTTCAGAAAGATCTGGAGCCGATTCCTCTTTTGATTTGGCGACACACACTAAACAGCGAGGGCTAATAAATGTGCCGCGGACAAATGCAATCGTACAGTGTATGGGCAGAGTTGGACAGAATGAGCCAAAGAGAGGATCTCAATTAGTGTTAAAGGTCAGGGTCATGCTCTTACACACTCTTCTCTCCTGAATCAATACTGACATTTAGAATCAATTAAGAAATAGCCAAGCTCACCCTGACTGACAGCACCATTTATTGAGACCCGAGCAAACAAGGAGCAGGGGCATTAAGAGACAACCGCACGCGTAAAAGAGCGAGAGAGGCTGTGTCAAGGTAGTGACTGGTCCTTATTCAAGCTGGCCCCTAGAAGTTAATTATTTCAACTTTTAAGCAACCAAATTACAGTGAGGCTATTTCAAAGTGGTATCTGAGGTCAGAATAAGTCTTTATTTCACAAAATGTAACCTCAAAAACATTTGCAAATTACACAAGGCTCCCCTCATAAGAAAAAAAACATCCACGGTACATATGAATTAAATTAGTGCTGGCAACATCTCTACAACACCACAGAGAAAGGTAAACACTTACGGGCCAAACTTTTTTTTCTCTCTCCCCTTGACTGCATGTATAAGATGGAGAACGTCTTATAATGTCAGCGTCACGTATGGAGCTGGGGGCTCGTGGAAAGTGGGAGACGAAAATGCAAGGGAGGGACGAAGGAAAAGAGGGAGCAGAAGCAGAGTTAAAAGCGAGGAGGAGATGGAGGTCCCGGGGAGTCGGGGATGAAGGAGGAGGAGGAGGAGGAGGAGGAGGAGGGGGGTGAAGGGGGCAAAGTCTGGAAGCTAGCTGACAGGACTGGATATGCCCAGACGGGGAGCCGGGCCCAGGCCCAGACTTGAGAGGAGGGATTTGGGATTTGAGTCTCAGAAATGCCTCACCCGTCTCTCCCTCATCCCCTTCTTTAAAAAAAAAAAAAACATCAATCCCTCTCTCCCGTCTCTCTCTCTTCCCTTTATTTTATCTTCAAACAAGCAAACACACATACATACATACATACCTCTGAACTGCTGTCGTGCTATTGATGGTAAAGTGGAGAATCCAGGTTGTTGGCCAAGCAAGTAAATAATAACACAAACCAGCTGTGTCTCTACTTAAACTACATGGCTGTTTGCATATTACTGCACAACTCACAGCTTCTTGAAGCTCCCAGATATCCAAAACATCCAGCTAGAATCCAAGTTGACTATCATCTATAAGTTAAATGTTAAAGTATGTTGGTGGAAAACCCAAAATGGACTTTCCTCTAATCCCTCCACCCTTTCTCTGACAGCTCCTTTACGTTGCTGTTATTCTTTCAAATATTGGCTTTAACTTTTCCTCATCAAGTGAACCCGGCCCCAGACATGGTCTGCGTATTGTCCGAAGGACTCTGCGAGCTGAAATTCTCTCACGATATAAGCACTGAGCAGGGAGCGCAGAAGGAGCATTAAAGAGAATGAGAAGGGGTAGGGTGGGGTAGCTGGAGTGAGGCACTGAGTTGTCTGTGTTTATTTTGGAAATGCAGGCCTGCAGACTTGCAACAGAGGAACTGACCCTAAACTTCACTGTGGCAGATCCTCACAGAAAGAGCAAGAGTCCTGTGCTGGTTTGGGATGTCCCACACAGGTGATTTAAAAAAAAAGGGTAGACCATATATTCCCAGAGGGAGCATTTTAACCCACCCTGGGGACCCAGGAATGGTCTGCTCCGGGAGGAAACAGTGAGGCCGTGGGTGATTAGTGGTTACAGTTTAACTGGAGAAAAATGCATGCTTCGTGAGCCCGGCCAACCAGGGAGCAAAGAGGTATGCACTGGTCTCCTTCAGTTTGCAAGTTAGTGTGAGTCAAGCTCTATATCCGCTCCGCCTGTTCTTACTGTATGGGCCCAGGAGTCTGGCCGTCACCCCACATAGACACATCACACTGTAGCACTCCGAAGTATGCGTGTGTCACCTGCACACATGGCGATGATTAGTGACGAGAGATTCTATCGGAAACAATGCACAGAGCTGAACTGTAATAATACGAGAGCTGAGAGAGTCATTCGCTGTCATTTTCAAGTTGAACTCTAGTTCAGCCAATGAATCAGCTCTGTTTCAACTTAGATTTCAATTCAATTACACTGATGACTTCAGTCTTGTGGCTCATTGGAATTTCCCTGGTTTATAAGCTGCAAAATAACAAAGAATTTGCCAAACACTTTAAATGATTAACAAAGTGTGGGGCTCCTTACCACCACCAGGGACCTGACCACGGATACTGTATCATGCACCATGTCCTCTCTCTAGCTCATATCACTGAAGGGACATGTCCTGTCCTGCGTCCATCTACCGCCCAATCAAAGGTCAAGAGTTGGGATGTGCAAATCCATTCAAAATGACATAACCTAACGTTAGTCATATTTCATCAGGCACGTGGAGGAATGACAAATTGTCTGATTGGGATCAAGAGTACTTCAGAGGTCTTGTCTACAAGTGTAAAGGACATATCCGTCATGGGGATCCCTGTGAAGATAAATGTGTGCATCAGGTGCCTTGATTTCGCTCCATGCTGCCTCTTTCACTGACCACAATAATCCTCTCTCCCCTGCTGCTGAGTTGCCTTTCAGCTCGACCGTAATCCCCAGCAGCTATGAAACCCCACTGTGATATCAATTCAAACACTCACACTGGCTCGCCCACTGTAGCTTGTACCGCTTACATTCCACCCAATTACTGGTAGCGGTCCTCATCCTCCTCACAGTTTTTTCCCCTCCAGTGGAAACATATTTTATTGGCCCCACAACAGGCCGACAACACTGTGTGCGAAAAACAAAACCTACTGTCGTGGATGTCGGATGAGAGTTTCTTTGTGGTACCATATTCGCAATGTAGGAATCAACTGAATGTGCTTCTTTTTTACATCAGATGCAGTGCACCTTTATTAGCCTGGTTTAAGGCATTAAGTATAAGTGCACTGTGGGCTCCCACTGGTCCCCTACCACAAGCCTCGTGGTTGTTCTGTGACGCAGGAATAAGCCATTAGGGTCCACCTTTTCCACCATAAAGCAGCTGCCTTACCCTCACACAACTTGGGACTTCAGGGGTATGATGTCAGACAGTTGTGGTGGGGCGTTAAATCTTAAAAGCACGGGAAAATCGGGGAGGTGGTGACCACCACACCCATGATTTGATTTCAGACACTGGTGTGGTGGAAAGCCTTTATGGTAGATCTTCTTGTGTACTAATTGCAGCAGATGAAGCAAGTCGGTGTCAAACTCTGACCAAATCTCTGTGCAAGCTGTTGCACCCAGCAGCTGCCAGAGTATGTACATCTGGCCAAGCATGCAGTCAGGATGAGAAAATGTACAGCAGAAAAAAAAAAAAAAAGACTGCCTACACAAACACACACACACATCCTGAGAGTGTGGAATGCCACCAGAGGGATGCACAGCTGGACCCCAGCGGACATCTGACTATATGACGGCGCTGAGAGCCTTTTCTCTGCAGTGACTCAAGAGCTGTGTAAGAAAAGAGAAGTATCACGGTATGTGCCGACGCTGATAGACGTCTCTCTTTCTGTCAGATGGATTCTGTGGTTGAACTGAGGCTAAACTGTTCATCAGCTGATTGGATAAACAATGCGGTGTGCAGGCTGAGGATGTGCGGAGCACCTTTGCTCACAGTTCAGAGGGGGGTTATGGATTAAATAGCAGGGGCCTGGAAGGGGGGGGGGGTCAATGTCCTCTGCACAAAGCCTGTGCGGCCTCTTTCGCGCTCCTCTTCCCCACATACTCTGAGAGAGGTCCAGTGGGCCCGAGGCCAGACCTCTTCCAGCCTTATATGATATCTGTGTGACGGTTTCTCTCATGCACCCGCACGCTACATTGTTCATACAGTCACCTTGGAAATAAACAGCCATCCTCCTCTGATCCAAAATGCAACTGCAGCCCCCTGAGTGTGCCTCGATCTGCATTGTGGCCTATGCTTTTTAATGATCAGGCCTTATTCCACTCCAGCACAGGGCTTGTTAGGTCTGCCTTGGCAGAGCTCAACTCTTTCCCCTGGCATCTTCTGGAACAATGGGCCCATGGGAGGCAGCCAATGGGGAGAAGGTCCATCCCAAACCCAGTCCCAGTGTGCACACAATTAGGCTTAGGGACAGTGGAATTGCTTAATTGGAGGAAAACAGCTCTTTATCTAGGCATGTGTGCCTGTGCTCATCCTCGCCCCCTGCGCTACATGATTGGCCTCAACTAACGGAGAATTGGTCAAAACAAAAATGGTAATATGGCAAGACAACGATTTCACCAGTTCCAGTCGTAGTTTGTGAGAAGTTATTAGGCATAAATAGCTCATGGTGGGCCATATATATAATCAAGGGTAAACTCAAAAAACTAAGCACACTTCCTCACATAAAACTTGGTGACATGAAAGAATAACATATTTAGTCTTTCATGTGGGAAATCTGAAAATTGACATCATTTGTTCTATGGGTGTGTACCTCATGTGGTGGTCACAGTTGTATTTACCAACATCCCATCATGTTGTAAGTGAATGTCAGCAGTCTGTAGACGTTGAACTCTTTTATCAGATGTTGTGACAGAACATCAGGGAGCTCAGTACAAGCCTGCATCTTGCACAACAGCTGGCTGAGCTGTGATGAACGCCCCTATATAGGGCAGGATTTGTCATACTGCTCTAAAAATGTCTAAGGGTTGCGGAGGGGGGGGTGCGAGTTTAATTAAAAGAGGACGCGGACATGCGGGGGGAAAGGTTGTTGAAACAGGTAGCGACGCGGTGCGTAAATGGCACAGACGCCGGTAAAGGCACGTCCGCCGCGACTGGCCTTAAATATGACAGTGTTGGGAGTCCAGGCTGCAGTATATGGGCGCACCGCTGGAGAGTCTCTGAAAATAGGTCACTACCCTGTTTGAACTCGTGCAATTTTTTTCATATCGTAGCAGCACACTCAGACCAACGTGGACACGCATGACAACAGACGCAATGTACAGGACTGACATTCAAAATAAAGGCGCTCCGGGCTTACCTTTCGGGGAAAATGCCGTGGATATGGCCGAGATATCTCCGACTTGGCCCCCCTCTTACCGGTGCAAACTTCGCACACAAAGTCCTGTGGCTCGAGCAGCGTCGGTGTCAAATGACTCCTCGTCAGTTTGTCGCTTTTCCTTCGATAAACGCGAAATACAGAGCCGATACGTCTTGTAAAAATAGATCTAGGTGTCTGAAGAGGCGGTCCGTTCCCAGACCATTGTCAGGATTCTTTCTAAGCATAGGGGGGGGAAATACATAAACTCAAAACGCAGCGTATTAGACTGCTGGTCGTTTGAATAAAGACTAATCTATGGAATGACAGCCTTGTCTGTTGCCATGGGATGATATATTCTGCATGTCACCAATCCACTGGAAACCCGTCAAAAAGTGTAAACACCCAAATCCGTAATCTTAACTGTTCCCGCTGAGGAAAAAAATAAAATGAAGACCACCGGTTGTGTTGTGCATCAAAAAAAAAGCAGGTGATGTCTTCCTATATTCAAAGCGCATCGCTTAATGGCAACGCTGGTCAAGTGGGGGTTTCCTATGGGTGGTCGTGCTTCTCCTGACGGGGTGGGAGGGCAGTTCAAACCAGAGGGATGGCATGAAGTGGTGGGTAGGGTGGATAGGGCGGGTTGGCGACGGGGTGTGGGGTAGAGGGGGAGGATCGTCTCCTTCTTCTTCGGTGCTTTTCCAGATGCCGAGGTGGGGCTGTTTGCTTTCCTTTTTCTCGCAGTTATCCTCGTGTCTCTTCTGCCTTTTTCTTTGCTTTTTTTTGTATTATGTGTGAGCCCTCCAGGAGACGCGGTGTTGGTGGTAGTCTCCCCCAAGACCGTCTGAAGCGCATAGACAGTCGCCCGGAGCCCCAGCCAGCCCGTCAGGACCAGCCCAGAGTCTGCCAGCTCAGCGCATGCTTACTGCTCCGCCCCTCCACCATGGGCAGTCCCCGGCTCCTCTCCAAACTCTCCCTCTCTCTCTCTCTCCGTCCTCATGGCCGTGTCTCTCCGCCTCAGGTCTCCTCCATCAACAGGCCCCCATGAACGGTAACGCCCCTCTATTTCACTGTCTGTTGTTTTGCAGCTGGCCACCACCTCTGTCTGGCTAATAGTTTAAAAGTTCTTCTTTTACTATAACTAATTCTATTTCCACCTGCATGAATCAATACAACACTTGCAACTATGTGCGACGGTAAACCTGGAGGAGAGAAGATTAAGACAATGTCTAAGTCAAAGGAAATTACAATTTAGAGTCTAATTCACACCAAAATGTGCATTATTCTTGTAAACCACATACCGCATAATACGGTGAACCCAAAACGTTAAGTTGTTGTTGAGATGATAAGGGTTTTGATTCCATTTTTTGAGTTTAGAGTCTATCTGTTCAAATATCTTGTTTATTGTGTTCACTCAAAAAACTCTTTTATTGCATCAAGAAATTGAGAATAACCTGGTGTTTCCTGTTTGCTAAAGCAGTTTTCCTGTTACATGTCAGTCTGATGTTGTAACATTTATGATTGATGCGGTGAGCCTAGCTGATTATTACAAAAGTATCCACACAAGTGCCTTTCACAAGTGCACACCAATTAGAAGCCATCACTGACAACCTCAAAAGCAACCATCACTTACTTTAGCATGTTCAACATTGAAAGATACCGTTTAAACTAAAGTGGTGTTGCATACAGATGTTTCTGTTTTGTCAACCCTTTGAGATCCAGTGTTTCAGTGATGCTGGAGTGAACATCTGTGCCACCACTAGAGGGCCTACAGCAGCCTGTTAGGAGATTTAATCAACCCGGGAGTCCTCAGAGATGTATTCATTGGTACGAATTGATTTGCCAAGCCTTATATTTCCATTTTGAGGAAAGCCATAATACTTGGATCATTTAACATTTCCAAAATAATGATCAAGTCCATAAATGTATATTCCATCTGTGAAGAATCAATATTTTAGACCTCAGTTTCAAATATAATGTCAACAGCTCAGGTTTCTGTGCTTTGGTTTCAGAAGCTATACGTTTACCAATTCAGTGGCCCCCAATAAGACCAAAATATGACTTGATTAAGTTTCATGTTTAATTAGTTTCAAGGGTTTTAAATATTTAAATTCATTATTAATAGGCTACATTATGCAACTATTGCATGGAGCCGATATGCATTTTGGTATTGCATGTAATATTCAACCATGTTGTGCTCTGGATTTTACTTTAGCTCGATGTTTATGGGTTACTGGTCGCAATTTGTACCATATAGTGAGCCTTTAACTATTAATTGATTCTCTAACTTACTAAATATTAAGTAAGCAGTGAGCTAAACGATCATGTTCATGAAATGTTTGTATAATACTTAGTTTCGATTGGTTGAAACCCATTCCATCGTATTGTAAACTGTACACATACTGTGTGTGACCATTGTAACAGCCAATTTAAATCAGTTGTAGGCAACGGCATAGAACTAGTATATTTTCCTATTTAGGCTGGCTCAACGTGTGTTTATTAGCCTAGAATTAATATCATGTTCGTTTGTAAGATGAATAATATTACTTCTTTAGTTTCTCTTGGAAATCACTGCCATGGTTTCTTGCAACTCGGCTGATCCAGATGTGTGAACAGCTGTGTGAGAGCAGCTTTAAAGACGTGATTATGTAATTGCTTGACAACTTACATCCGCTCCAGTAAGGTGGACTCATTAATAAAACGCCACCATGCGCCTCTAACAAGGATACAGCTTTTCATGTTTCCGGGTGCAAAAAAAAAACAACCCAAATTCGCTGCTCCCATTTTGTCGCTGGTATCGCTGTTTGCGCGTCGCAGCTTCTGATAAATTCGGTAATACTGGGGTTTATCCTCCTGTGCTGCCACTGTTACACCCAAAATGGTGAACGGCATACACATTCGGTCGTGTTGTGTGTCAGTCAGCGTCCTGTCCCTGGAAGCCCTCCCCGGTGGCTGTTGCTGTGCAGCTCTGCCAACCCGTCAGCTGATCCCTCTTGTTCGCAGCTGTTGGGAGTATCCGCCCCTCCAGCAGTCCCGCTCTTTATTTACTATATCAATGTCACAGTGCAATCTACATTGAGGTTATTGCTCTAATTGTTTGGTCTTGTTTTGGTTCATAATTATACCTGTCAACTTCATTTTAAGGAATGCTCTAAATGTGTACGGGTTGAAGGCGCTCGTAGTATTAATTTCACTGAAACCATAAAAGGGGGAAACATATGTGTGATTGATAATCACCGACTGTAGGATTCGTGCATTGCTGTAACTCAACACTGTACCGCACATTTAATCATAAATTAGCAGCCAGTGTTTCGCAGACATCCATATTAAAGGCATATAATCCCCCTTTAACCCTCACGTGTGCGTTTCCTTGATGGTGTATTTATGCGCTAAATAGTCCTTTTGTTTACATGCAGTCCCCCGTCTCTGCGGAAGGAGGCTTTTGGAAGCGAGTGTGACTCTTACCAGCTGTTTCCCGCCTTGAAAGCCATCCGATCAGCTGCATACACACACACACACACACACACACACGGTCATGCAGAGGGAGAAAGCAGAGGGGAGGGAGAAAGAGAGAGAGAGGTAGAGCGCCACACACAACGAGGGAACCCCATCAGCTGGAAGTCGAGTAACATTACAACTCTCAGCAGCCTGAAACTACATTACACAGACCAGGGATCTATACGTTCTCTCAGGATTTAACCCGCGTCGGATCACGGGATTTCTGCTCCATAACGTCAGAATTTGTCTTTTATTCTACGGAGACTGTTTGCTGTTTTTTTTTTTAAGGAGGTGGGGGGGGGGCAAACTGGCGAGAGGAGAGCATGGAGTATTTCATGGTACCAGCTCAGAAGGTGCCCTCCTTGCAACACTTCAGGAAAACGGAGAAAGAAGTGATTGGAGGTCTTTGTAGGTGTGTATACCTGTGTTTCAACCAGCACGCCGCGTGCATTATTCATCTGTTTTGGGAGAAGACGCACTTGGCCGACTGCGCTGAGGCAACATGCTTGATCTGATCTGTTATTGTGTACACGACCCACTCACGGGGGAGCTGCGGGCATTAATTACCACCAAACACTTGTTTTTATTTGCGCCTGAGCAAGTGGGGGACCCGTCTCACACCTCGGCATCCGCCACGGGATGTTGATTTTCGCATTTTGTTGCGAAATCGGCGTATTTTGTAGCGAACAAACACAAACCACGTGGTTCCGTGCACACCACGTTACTACTCTGCTATAGAGCGCACCTCTGCTCTACTTATCCTCAAATTACCCCCCAGTGTCACCCATAGGTGCTGTGATTCGCGTAAGAACCGGAATGATTGTGCGAGCGAGTGTTATTCGGTGTGAGGGGGGTCTAGTTTTGCCGCACACACCGTGCAGGTCGCCGATTCTTTCTCAGAGCGAGCTGAAGTTATTGTGGGTAGTGCGGCCATGCTTGTGGCTTGAGCTAAAAGTGATGGGGGGGGGGGGTTGTCTGGTGTTTGTTCCCCGTTAATGGCGCCGTTTTTCGTTTATTTCCAATGTGAAAATGTACAACCGCTGTGAAAATCGCCCCCATCTGAGGTAGCGGTAGTTTTTGCGGGTGTTTCCGTGCGTCTCGTTCGCTCATTCGAGTCGCCTCCACTGCGTCTTTTCATCCCGCACCTCTGCCATGCTGCCTGCCGCATTGTTATAATGGCGGAGGACACGAGAAGTCTGCTTGGAAGCACGGAGGTGGCGTCGGGCACTGTGATGAGGAATAAGGGGGTTTATTTCACCGTTTTACGCGTAAACGTATTTCCTTCGGCGTGTCCGCTAAAAGGGTCACTTAGCGTGCGCGGGGAGGCAGGGGAATTAAAAGTGGTGTTATTAATAAGGGGGTGTGTATGTCGCGGAAGGCCTTTCGATACGTCCGCAGCCCTGTTTGAAGAGGGAGGCGGAGGGATCTGTTGCTGGTGGCTGTTGGTAGTGACGCAGGCGTTGTGGGAGATGTAGTCCCCTTTAACATATTTCTTTTATTCATTCCTCATTGTTAGTCTGCGGAGAATTGCTACATAACGAGGAATATCTACCCCCATTTAACCCGGAGTGTCATAAATGTATTTCTTTGACTTAAAATGACTGGAAAACGACACAAAGTGTTGTGCGTCTTGATTACGTTAAGCTGTAGAGCCTCTATTTACATCTCTTGTATCTTCAGCTGTGTCACTAGTATAATAGATAAGAAAAGATAATATCTAACTGCTGGCAATTTAGTTTCAGCCCAACAACTAATGGTTAATTGAATTGTTGATTTATATGTAGGTTTAATTTTTGGACTATAAAATGTCAGAAAATATTGGGGAAATGACTATTTTCTAGAGCCTATAATGTCAGAAAATATCTTGTGTTGTTGACCAACACTCCAAAACTATAATTTCCTACGAGGACATTGTAATATATAAGGCACTATAACCATCACGTTTGGCTAATTTGCTTGAAAAAATGACATATGTATTGATTATCAATATGCTTTTGGAATAATCTGATTTGTTTTGATCGGTTCAGTTTTGCACGTAAACTCCTGGTTTAAGCTTTGATCCGCTCTAATTGTGTCCCAGACTGTTCCTCTGTAGTGGTTTGCGTGATATGGTAAAGTCTAGTTTTGGTCATGTTTTGGCAGTGGATGTGTTTGCTGGATATGCCGCTGCAACGTTGGTAAGTGTGTGTGTGTGTGTGTGTGTGTGACTGCGTGTGCACCCACTCCTTTTCACGTCTGTGGCTGCACAATTGTTTCCAGTGTTTGCACTGGGGCAGCTGAGTCAGTACAGATAAGAGCTTGGCGAGAGAGGGTCCCAGAGATACTAAGCTGGATACAGAGTATGTTAGAGGAAGTTGGCTTAAAATTTCCCCTCAACTGAATTGCAGCATATTGTGTCTTTTCACCACAGCTTTGGGGGGGGGGGGGGTGTGTATTAGCAGGCTCAGTGCAACTCTAATTACATCTCGACTGGAGTTATAAGCAATGGTGCCACTTTAATGATGCTTTTTTTTACCACGTGGGGTGCTTGTAAGGTGTCTTGAGAAACATCAGTACTGCTTCAGTGGCAGGGAACATTTACACTCCCTTTCAAAAGCATAACTTTGGATTGCATTGCATACATTATTAATGTGTGACTTTAACACCTGTTAAGAAATGCCATGGGCTGAGAAGAGCAGCCCCAATCAGTGTCTGCACAAGAACACATGCTTGGAATGATGCTTACGTGTTTTAGGGTTAAAAAATAGTTTCATTAGCGATGCCCAGCTGCATTTAACCCGGGATTGCAACATGTATGATGTTATAGATTCTTGAATATTTTTTTTATTGTCCACGCAGGAAAAAAGTAATTGATAGACATAAAAAACAAATGACGTCTAAACACCTCTGTAATAGCAGGAATGTGTTTTGCATTTCTTGGTCCATTCTACTGAGATATTAAGGGCTCTGTGAATTAAAATACAACAGTAATGTGTCTTTCAAAGATCATAAGACATAAAATATTGACAGTAAAAGACGCCGGCAGAAATACTAATATTGACCATGGCCTCAACAGATGACGTCACAGGGCAGACGTGTTGCGTTAGACAGGACTGCGATCACAGGAATACTGTATTCATGTCCATATACGTGGCTTTGATGGAAAACATCGATCCAAGAAGCTCATCCACTGTAAAAAGTGGGAGTGGAAAAAGGCAGATTGTGATCATTTGGGTTTCCAAAAGAGAATATCGCAACAAAAATGAAGGTAGCTGGAAGTTGTTTGGCCATCAGCCGGGATGGGTCCAATGGAAGTAGACTGACCTGTAAATGGATGTCAGTCAACAAGTTAATATTCGTTATAAATGTGTTATTGGTAATGTTTTGGTTTTATTTTATTGAAAAATTGACTTTTTGGTAAAAAAAATGGTTGTATAACATTTTGTATGGTTCTAGCCCTTGCTTCCTTTGGATTAGGGTTAAAGTTCACTCTGTAAGGGTGATGCTGCTGAAAATGTTTTATTTTCTCCATTTGTCCAACTAACTGCTTTCCTCCCCCTTTCCTCCCCCTTTCCTCCCCCCTAGTCTGGCCAACATTCCTCTGACCCCAGAAACAGCCCGGGACCATGAGAGGCGAATTCGCCGAGAGATCGCCAACAGCAACGAGCGTCGGCGTATGCAGAGCATCAATTCTGGATTCCAGTCACTTAAAACACTCATCCCGCACAGCGACGGAGAGAAGCTCAGTAAGGTGAGTCACGAGAGAGGTCTGAACGAGGTAAAGGGGGCCACACGCACCTTCACGACAGACCTGTCACAGCCTTCCTCTTCTCTTTTCCCCAGGCTGCCATCCTGCAACAGACGGCAGAGTACATTTTTACTTTGGAGCAGGAGAAGACGCGCCTATTGCAGCAGAACAGTCAGCTCAAACGAATCATACAAGTAAGGCATCGCCGTGCGAAACCTGGAAAGGCTTTACCGGGATTTTCTGTCCGTCAGGATCATCGGTTTAAGTGTTCATCTGAAACGGATATCAAATTTCTGTTTGCTCTCCCTAGGAGTTAAGTGGTTCCTCCCCTAAGAGGAGGCGTGCAGAGGAGAAAGACGAAGGGATTGGCTCACCAGACATCCTGGAGGAGGAGAAGACTGAGGACTTGAGGAGGGAGATGATTGAGTTAAGGCAGCAGCTGGAGAAAGAGCGCTCAGTCAGGATGATGCTGGAGGATCAGGTAAAAGGAACAAACCACGACATGTAACGCAGTTTCAGACAATCCTAAAAGTCTGTGTCCAGACAGATGCAGTGACTAACATGGTTTTGAACCTTCATCTCCTGCTCTGTTGCGTGTCAGATGCGTTCCCTGGATGACCAGTTGTACCCAGAGCAACTGAAGGCGATCACCCAGCAGGCCCAGGAGCACCAGACCCAAACACGGAGCCTTGTCCGTCTGCAGCAGAACAAGCAGCTGGAGAGGGACCTTACTCCAGCCCACAGCCCGCAGGTTAGAAACATTTGCATATGAGTGTGACTCGCACATAAACTGTTGGATCCTTTTTGAGAATTTTGCTGATAAATTTCACTTTTTGTAATCGGTTAACTTCCTTAAGTCTGATGTACGAAATCCAGAGTACACATTTCATGCTTAAAGGGCCAGTGTCTAGCATTAAGGGGGATCTATGAGAAGAAATGGGACAAAGTATTATACTAAAACGCATGTTTTTACTTTATAGATTCTGTGTCCAACATTTAGAGATTTTTTTTTAAACAATCATCGTTGCAGACAAACCATTTTCAGCCCAGTATATTTAAAAAAAACAGTGTTTTAGGCTCTTTACCCTAAATTCATCTGGCAGCTGGCACCAAAACTCCCCTTCTGTGTGTAGCTGTAAAAGTTTATAGACTTCTTTGAGTCGATCACGTTGAAGCATATTGCTTTTTAAAACACTTACACACAGACACGTGAACTAATCTCACAGCATACTGTAGATCCCACCATGTCCAGAGTTGGACTCATTTACAGCGCGTCAAAGGATCAGCTCGCACATCTTCCTGCCCTGACAGCCACAGTATCCTGTTTCGTCAGACTAACCCTAACTGAACATGATGCCAAATCAATTGGAGTGTGCTGTCTGCCCATCCACTACTTGTGGCAGCTGGGTGCTGGTAATGAAAGATGATTGATCGATTCAGCATGAGACACTCTGTGACTCACCAAGCAGATCTGAGCCATATGGCCTCAAATCAATATCACCGTGAATTGACAAAATGACCTCAGTAACGAGGAATTACTGGAAATAAAATGACTCAAATATATCGTGTTTTTTGTTACAATCATGGCTCCATAACAACTAAAAGCTTGATCTGCTCTAATATCACATTTTAACTTTTCTCTATTATTGGAAAGGAAACTCTTCAGTCAATAACAATAAAGAGAAATTGACGAAAACGTCTGGAGCTTTCAAGTGCATCTCTAGTTATTGGATGTTTTTAAGTTATAAAAAGAGTTGACATTGATTTATTTTTCTGTTCAAACTGTTCCCAATGTCAATAATTAATAGAAACAGAGGCAGCTTACAATGAACATTTAAATTGTGAGTTGTTCAGCGGCAGACTGGGCGGCCTGACGGATCCGTTAATGGGAGCTTAATCATTTGCGCCAATATGGGCTTGTGTGCTGCTTTTAGCTGAAGCTCGGGTTGATGTAAAGCACCGCGTGTACGCAGAGTGCTCACGAGAAATCTGAGCACCCCTGATTTGCACCATTTCACTTAAAAACGAACTAGCTCCCCAATAAGTTTTGTTGTTGGAGGCAGCCTTAAAACACTCACGTGAAACATCCCAAACACAAGTACAGGACACCATTTAGGTTGATGAGTGATTCCTAACATCTGGCCTGGTTATTATTCAATATGCCGACAGCTGTATTTCCAATTTTGTGTGTAATATAGTGCCTGCGTATGTGCACACCTTAAGCATGTTTGTATTTATATATATTTATGGTAGTTTGCGCAGGTTTAAGTGTTCTCTCCATTTAACGTTACTCTACAATACTACTTGACCGTTACAATATGTTATCACAGTGTAGTGGTGACACGAGAATATTGTGTAATAATGCCTCCTTTCCACCAGGTGATGGCCCCAGCTACCCCCCCTGCACCTACACACCATGCCACAGTAATCGTCCCTGCGCCTGTGCAACCCGCCCCACCCCATCATGTCACCGTGGTCACCATGGGCCCGACATCGGTTATCAATACGGCGTCCACATCTCGACACAACCTGGACACCATCGTTCAAGTAAGGGCGGGAGTAGACTTGTGAACCGTTTTTAAGGTTGGATCGGTTTTCCACATCTGAACACCAGAGGGTGCTGTCGTCACTGACATCGCTTATCCTCTTGTCTCCAGGCGATCCAGCACATCGAGGGCACCCAGGGGAAGGCTTGTGTCGGCGAGGAGGAGAAGCGGAGGGCGGTCATTGTCACTTCAGGTCGCGTCCTCTCCGACGCGGCGGGCTCAGACACGGCCTCAAACAGCGACGGGCCCGACGACTACTCACTGCCCTGAGTTCATCCCTGACGTCTCACACGCCGTACACTTACACACACACACACACACACTTACACGCAAAAGGCCCAGGCAGACCGGGGCTACAGGAGGCTTCAAACCCACAGCACTCTAGTTCAGTGGACATTAATAGGGCTGGTAGACAGATTGAAGCACTCCTTTTTGTTTTTTCTTTCTTTTCAGTACACAGTCTTACGTGTTTTGTTGTGATAGGCAGCCCAAATAGGTTTACACTCATACATGCAGTCTCCTCTGCATCTGTTTTCTGCTTATCTTAAACTCCCCTGCTCTTTCACACACACACACAAACTCATTCCTCTCCATTAATCTAGAGAGGTTATTAGAGTACCTACTTCACTGACTGATCTATAACGATCCGTCATACTGGACAGTAGAGTGTCTGCTAAACATCACTATTAATCGCCCAGACTGTTCTCTTTATTCGGCCCTGAAGCCATGTGACTGATCCACGAAACCTGGAGACACAGAGCCCAGCAGTGTGGCGTCATCACCACCCAACACCGGAGCGTTTTTGTTTAAGATAAACATCCTTTAATCCTCCTTCTCTGAGCTGTTTGGACAGACACTGTGAGCCAACAAGACTGTTTCAAAGTTCCACCATTTTAGACTTCTGAATGAAAGAATATGTTGTTTTACTCGTGTGAAGTCTACTTTTTCCGTGTTTTGTTTCTTTAAAGCTCCTTTATCCAGCAACTTAAAGTGATTGTACTGGAGGGAAAAAATAGCACGACATCAATGGGGATTTAAAAGCTGTTTTTATGGCTGACTGGTGCTCACAACAAAATTAAGCTAAGGTTGGAAGGAGAAAGTGCGCTTACAGGTTTATAGCTGTATTCTTTTTTTATTTTTTTTTGTTTGTTTTGTTGCCATTTTTTTTACTGGGCTGGGTTCCCGGTAATCCCACATATGTATTAGGCATGTTCTTCTTTTTACTCATGGCCTGACAAAAAATATCAGTGCTTTGACATGTCCTGACAACCTCCCCTCTTGAATTTAAAAGCACGTAGCTTGTTAAAATAAGCTAATCTGTGGGGACTTTTGAGTGATTTCCACTGGTGTGTGTGTGTGCGTGTCCCATTTCGCGTTTTGAATCAGCAGGGCTTAGCGGTGTCCCAGACTCTGGCAGTCTGCGACAGCACAGCTTTTGCCTTGACGTTGAGGCAGGCGCATATGTGCACACAACATACGTACAAATATGACTAATATACAATCACTTGTTTGCGCAATCGTAAAGCCCGTTACAGTGTAGCTTCTTGTCCAACTGTTGGGACATCTATCAAAGCAAACTATACTTAAAATACAAGGAAAGTACCCGGTGAAATTGTTTGAATGTGCCATGGGGGTGACTGGGTTGGCCACACATGCTCTATGCATTTCTCCCCTTTTGCACGCTTCTTGTCTAGTGTACCATGCTATTGACACGTTTCTGCTTAGACCATACTTTCAATGTTTTTGCCTGGAACTGTTGGTTGACAGACGGACATAAAGACTTGTAGAGAGAGGCAGCAGCTTGCCTTACTAAGAGCCCGTGGGTGCAGGGAGGCACTGTGAAGCCAGCCTTAACACAGCCTGAGAGATGTACCGGAACACATGATCTGGGCTGGTTGGTGGCCACTGGAATCCCTCTGGTTTCCCCCTCGCCCTTCCAAACAGGCTTGTAAACACCCGAGTGTATTAGAACATATATCCCCGGGTATTTTGTCTATTTTTCTATGTTTTATTATGTTTGCCACAAACATAAATAGGTTTCTGGTGTGTGCTAATGCATTCAAGCTCTCTCTGATATTCCAAAATGCATCCAGTACTGACTCTTGGTTAGATTCACATGTAGATTTGCAACCGTCGGCCCCTTCATGTGCACTATTAAAGCCAGAGCTGTGGTTAAAAAAGAAATTCCACAATGAAATGTTGACATTCCATAAAATGTTACTAATTTTTCCACGTCAGGTTGAAGTGAAACCTGGTCTATTTTGATATTAGTCACATTTAGCGCTTTACACACATTACTGCTATTATATGATTGCGTTTAGAGTCCTCTGCATCAATGCATAGATGGAGCTTTGAACTGCTGGACAGATAACGTGTTCGATTGAACGCAATCTCATCTATCATGATTTATGTCATGGACTTGCCCTTTAAAGAAATATTGATGTCAGCTGCACTGAAATGAGTGACACATCTGTCGAATTAAATCATGGGACATTTGTCCCAGTACTTATCACTAGAGGCAGGGGATTCCTGGATTTTGAAAATGTGTTTTGCAAGCTCTGCCTTTGTAGAGCCCTGTGCTTTTTCTCTCTTGAGTATCTGCATTTGATAGTTTTTCTGCTGAATCCCAGACCTGTTTTTGTTCCATCTGTGTTTTGTGTGTTAGGAAACGTTACGTGAACATATCGACTTGTCAGATGAGTAGGGTGGGCCTGGGGATCATTAACTAGGGTCATGATTACAAAGCACTTACTGTACTATACTGGAGTCCGCCTCTTTCGTTTGTATAAAGAGGCGTCTCCTCAGCTGAAGCTCTTTAGGTAATGAGTAAAAGCCGCACAGCTGTGTATCCCCCCTTTTCCTCCAACATCTTGTCCTGTTTGCGCCTCTCATCTTTTCTTTTTTATTTTTGCAAAACCTTTTATGCTAACTTTGTTTATCAATTGTCAATATCTCTTGTGTCCCTTCACATTTCGCTCCCTCCTCTTGTCTTATCTGTAACTTTTGTTTTGTTAGACCTGTGCATATGGTTGTCAAGAAGTCTTTTTTTTTGTTTTTAAGAGAAATGTTTTGGGGATAAAGAGGCTTGTGCCTTTGTAAAGACAGAATAATAAAGTTTGTACTTTGTTTTTTATGCATTGGGCCCATTGTGTGTGTCTTTTTCTGTGTTTTTTGTGTCATTTAAATACGTATTTTATTCTTAATATTGACTGTTCATTGGCACCGACAGTTTTCATACCACGAATAATGACATAACCAGCTGAATTTGTCTCCTCTCCGGTTATGGTTGGCCGTCACTCAAGCAGTACAGTTGATGCACAAGTGTCTATTCCTGATTGGTGACTGGGGTCTTAAAGCCCCTCCTCCCCTCCCTCTCTTGCTTAACAGCTCATTGCTAAATTAAGATCGCCCACCTTATCTGTGACAGTTAAAATGTACACTAGGGACAGTAGATGGCATCTCTTTGCCATCATCCTCTGACATGCATTCATTCGTTCCAGGCCTCCTGTTCACACCCTCGCACGTTCATTCAGAAATACCTCCGTTTTGTGTGTCCACAGAGGCTCAATCATTTCAAATTTTTAGTATCTTGTAGCATATGCTAATAAGCATAGACGGAGTTTCCAAAAACAGTTTACTGTATTATTAATATGTTCTGGCGCTGGTATATGAAATTCAGTTGTGGGATATGGACCAAATGGCAAAACTGTGTGCGGTATTAAGGTGGCATCATGTCAAGGAGCAGAAGATCAAAGGAACATTTAAGGTAGTCCTACAACAATCGACACTATAAAACCCTGTAGACAAACAGCTTAACTACTGTTATGCGGTTATTTTCCATTGCAGTGACAGCAGCATCAAAGCCGCAGCTAACATTTTAAAGTCACCTCAGTCATCTCTAATTAACAAAGAATTAATGTTCACTAGAATTTATAAAAGCTCAGCCAAAGCACAGTTTTTCTCATCAACAAATCATCCCACCACCAGTGAACTTCCTGAGGATTAAGGCAGTTTTTACGCACCAAAATGAACACACTGTATTGTTTGGACACGCTTCCCGAATCATATGAGACGGACTTGCACGAGTAAGAAACGCCTGCCATATTTGGGGATTAATTCACAGTTGAGATGTTGATTCCCGAGGAATTGTGAGATTATGTTCAGCCCAGTATGTCTGCTTGAGTGTGATAAAGCAGTAATCCTCTCAGTGTCTAGCTGTGTTAGGGTTTCTAGGTAGACTAGAGGGCCTATATGTTCCAGTCATTCCCACTCTTCAGCTCTTCCTCTCTCTCTCTCTCTCTCACAGTCTTATAAAGGATCATTTTACAAAATTTTGTTTCAGAGAAACAGGATATTTAACAGAATTTAAAATAGAATATTTTAGAACTGTTAGGGGACTATTATTAAAGGAAAAGTTCAACATTCTGGGACATACACCTTCTTGCCAAGAGTTTGATGAGAATATTGATACAAAGTATGAAGCTGGATCAATCAGCATATTTTAGTATAAAGATTAGAAGCAGCTGACCTGGCCCCCTCTCCAAAATTTTAAAATCTGTCTAAACCTACATCTTTCAAGCTCACCTAATTCACTTTATGTCTCGTTTGTTTAATTCTTACACATATTGCTTCCAATACTTAGGCTAAGTGGTATCAATCTTCTCACCTTTCCTTCAATACTGCTGATTTCAAACCAGTTTCCCTATTAGGTCCCAGTAGCATATACAGTATCTTTTTTTAAAACGTATACCATATATCCAGTCTCTGAAACACAAATTTTGTAAAATCGTCATCAGTGAGAAGTTGTGTGATCCAGCACTGACACATTTATGCCAAGGTCCGAGCTGCGACCGCTCTAAAAAGGAGAGTCAGCTGCTTGACTCCTGCAACACCTCCAACTCACAGACCTCAGCCCCTCCACCAACTGGCCCTCTCTGTGCTCCGCCTCTTCTCTCTGCATGCCCTTTAACCTTCCTGCCTTGGTATATATAGTCTGTGTGACTATCACAGTTCTCCTGGCAGCCATCATGAAGGGTACAGTCTTGATCTGCTGTTTCCTCTCCCTGCTGCATTTGCAGGCCACAGCAGGTAAGACTTTTAAAGATAGCATTTGGTCAAACATCTGGCGGATTCCTCATTTTTTTATGTTGGGTGGTGCATTGTGGGCACGAGATACGTTTGTGTACAAGTGCTGCTGATGAATGAAATCGTGATGCGGTGTAAATTTAGAGGCGGGTTAAATGAATGTTTAATGAAGGCTTGATTGCTCTGTTAGCTTGATCATACTGTGACCCTTCAGAGATTCAGAGGCTGTGATTCAGACTGTTAAAAGTAGATGGCCTAAAGTAGCTCTTGTGTCCATCGTGGAGGCAGTTTGGTCAGGAATGGCACTGTTTTCTAGAGGCAGAGTGCGTTTGGGGACGGTGACAGTCATGAGGACACCAGCCGAGGATAGACAGTGACAGTGACAGAGACAGAAATGTAAGCCCTGTGCAACCAAGCAGGGCTATTTAAAATCGGTCTCAGTTTATAATTAGATTTGAGTGGCACTTTGTCGTCTTTCTAATCATCAAAATCCAAAACACACTCGACACTTTTGATGCATGAACAAATGTCTTATCGTACATTTAGGTGACTCTACAAAGGAGAGCAGTTGAGGATCATTCAAACTAGAGTTCAGGCTCTCCTGTGGACTGACAGCATGTCAGCTGTCCTAACGCATGGCACCAGCTAATGGAAAGTCTTAGTCTAACCAAGGAGAGAACAGCCATGCGGGAACTCGAATGAACATTCAAAAAAGTGATCTTTTTGCTTCATTCTTGAACTTTATTTTCCACAACTTGGTTTTGAATTGTTAATCCAGACTTTTAATACCTTTAGGGGGCAACATTTCCTACAGGGATCGAGACAACTTCACAATACAGACATTAGATGGCACCCATGAAGTTAAATGTCATACTGACAACATCTTCTCCCAGATTACCTATTCTAAAAATGCGGACTGGTCACTGGGTCTGGACTAGAGTGGTTGGCGTTACCCTTGTCCGTCACCCTTGTCCGTCCTTGGGGTACCTCCACAGCCCGGGCCCAGGGCTCCATATTCCACGTTGCTGTCAAGTGTCTAAGATTGGAAGGCCTCCTGAAACCCAACACTGTTCATTACAGTTCCTCCCTCCCTCCGCTCCACTCCCCGTCCCTTCTGACTTCTCACCCCTCCCAGCCCCATGCTTCTCTTTAGATACACAGCACAGCTGCTGTCACTCTGCACTGTCACAATCGCAATTTATTCCCAGCAGTTGACCTTATAGGGACATGCATTCTCCAGGCAGGAGGGGCCCGGGCTTTGGCTGCAACTCATGCCTTCATAGACCCCTTTTGCAGCCCCGTGCATCTTTTGGTGGCCTTTGGTATTCATTTTTTAAAGCCGCATCGCACACAGGAGTTCTGAGTCCAACACCTGCAGGTTATGGACAATTATGAGAATCCTGAACTCCTTGCCGCTCAGTGCGTAATCAATTGTGTTATTGATCTGTTACATCGATATCAGGAACTCTATTTAATAGATTTTATGTACAGTTTGTGAGAAAAACAGCTGACACATTGACCTGGTAATCTTGATGTTGTTGGTGTCTTTAATTTCAGTTGCCAGTTGATTACACCAATATAATTGTCTACATTTTTATGTAAAGCAAGGACACCTTGACTTTGGAAATTGTAGGCAGAATAAAGGGAATCATTTTGTTATCAAAATGCATTCCTATGTGTATGGTTAGACATCATTAGGCTCTGGTGTAGCAGTGTGAACACACCTACAGGTGTAGTAAGGCCAAAAACATCTCCCAAGCATGGTGAGCTCATCTGATTCTGCCTCAATAATTTCCTCACAGTCATTTACCATCAGGTGTTCAATCGCTTCCATATTTTATACCAAAGCAAAGAGCAGAGGGAACCTATGTTTTTTGGTGGTGGTGAATGTGTCAATAGGTTACATGGCCAACCTGGCCCCATGATGCTCACATGTCATGTAGGAGTAAACATAGGTTGCTATAGTAATGATTGGGTTATTTTAAGGTTGCCAGAAACCCGACACTAATCAGGTCTTGTGTGAATGGCACTGACTGACCAATTACAATTGAATCCATGTACAGATTTTGATGTTATATGTAGAGTTTGAGTGTGAAAGGGGTTTTAAGAAAGCTGCGAATACAATATACAATGTCATTAGTGCAAATACAATCACAACATATTGCTAAAATGCAACACTCAGAACCTGAGAGCTGACTTTTTTTGATATACAAATATATCACAGCCTCTTTGGGACCTTGATTAGTTCTTCACACCAATGTGTTTATACTTGAGTGGTAACACTATCCATCCTCGATACAGTAAAAACATCTTTGACCTCCTCGCTTTGCGGAAGGGAGACATACGCACTGTCTCCACGTGATCTCCTCTAATGGTATGTGGCATGTCTGGGACATCCCTACGCTGGCAGTAGTAGAAGGGATGCACCAGTCACACTCCACTGCCTTACAACACACCCCTTCTTAAGACAAGCCCCCCCCCCCCCCCACAGTCCCAAGGGCACCTGACGTCCTCTCCTGGCTTTTAAACAGGAAAGCAGAGACAGAGGCATCAGATCAACACCTCAGGGTGAAGTGTCTTTGCCATTGCGCCTTCCTTTGAGCTTGTCACTCAACTAAATGTCTACTTGTCAGTGACCCCTTAGAGGACTAATACAATAAATTACAATCTGGATGTGTTTCACATAACATGGTCTGTAAGGGCCAGTGGCAACCCTAAGGGTCAGTGATGTCTTTTGTTTGGTTGTTTTTTGTAAAACAAAATACACCAACATTTGCATCTAGAAAATAGTCTGGCTTTTCCGTTAAAGACTGTCTTTCTGAAATAAATAAATTTTAATTTAATTTTAGTTTGGAAGTAATGAATTATACTTGTGATTGAACTGCATTTCTTGTGTAAAATGCCTGAGATACCAGGAAAACCATAGTGTGTCTTATTTGCCAAGTATCAGCACTGTATTTGAAGCTCGCATGAGCTACTGAACCAGTTAACAGTAGCTCTCAGTCCATTGGCCCGTATTACACAGTCCGCTCTAGGGATGTGGATGTTTCTGAGTCTCCAAACTGACTAAAATAGGAGCTACCAATTCTGCCCCCTCCTCTGTCCATCTTCTGACCCATTGTGGGTCTATTTTTGACTATGGGGGAGTTCTAGCTTCACAAGCTGTGCCACCTGTTGCAATCCGTGGCCTCTTCTCACCACGCCCTGCTCAAGCTCTGCTGACTGCTCTCACACCTCTGACCCCTGCCAGAGGAAAAAATAAATCATGTGCATTTCTATGGCTATAGGTTGACTTGGTATTCACTCGCTTCGTTTTGAGTGAAATGTATAAGCCATGTCCTTAACGTGTGCAAGAGAATTGGTTTGTGTTTTGTAGCATTAATGCTATCTATATCCTTTGGTATTTTACAGACCAGTGGTTATGTGAAAAGTGTCTGCTCTGTTTAACTTTGAATGAAGCCGATGCCTCTCTCCATGGATCTTTCCAGTGGAACCCCCTGGCCTTCAGTTAAGGTTGCCTGAATCCCCCTGTGCTCAGGATAAATCCTCTGACTGGGGATTCCAGGCCTGTCGCCCTCATCGTGTTCATAATTCAATGTACCTCCGCTGTGCTCCAAGCAGAACATGATCCGGGGGTTTTATACATACACAGATATACCTAATATATACAGAGTAAGTGCACATGTCTGCAGATACATACTAGCACATAATTCATGTCCACATCAGATGATATTATGCACATAGGGTAATCCCTGCTTGTATGTTTTGCCTACATAACACTGTTTGCTTGTGTTCTTATGATTGTCTGAATTAGTTGACAGAGCTCAAGATACATTTTGTTTAATTTATCTCCATTTCAGCAGAATTTGCTGTGTATTTCCACATTGGATATTGATTGGCTCCACAAACCATACACAAGAACGACTCCTATTTCAGGGAAGTACGAAGCCTTCTCCACTCAGCAGAGTAAATGTGTTCATATATCTATCGATCTTAATAGTAAAGGTGGTCTGTAAAATTGAGCAAATATAGACGTTTCACACTTACAGTAGGTGATTGACCTTCCTTCTGATGATTGAATAGCCTCCACACAAGGATCTATAGTCGAGGTGTGACTTACTCGGCCGCTGATGCCGCGGTAGGCTTAAATCTCCAACATTCCCACTGGATGTGCTGATGCCACCAGAATGTTTCTCCAAACTGAGGGAGGGTTGTGTGGCAACGGGCTCATTGCGGACACATGGTCCTGGGCGCAGATGTCCGGGGTTCAACTCCCCTGGCGCCTGCAGGGTTAATTTTGAGCGCTGATGCAAGGCCCGCCTTCTGCAGGCAACACTACCTCTCTGATCTTTGCAGACCCCTGTCCCAGTGCTTCCATCGGGGATTGACTGGATTGGGAGGTGTTAACACACTCGAAGCAGTTAAGGCCCACTCAAGAGGCTTGTGTTAAAAGATACGACTCTTCTGAGTGATGAGTCAAGTTACGGAAGCTTGAGTAAGCTCTGTGTAATACAGGGACAGGCCTGGCACTGTGAAGATATGGTTCTCCTCAAAAGCCACTTCAGCCTCCAACTTGAATCATCCTTAGTGTCCTCTGAAAGCCGGCTTCTCTCAAACACTTCCTCATTGTGTAATTCATCCCATCTTGTAGTCGTGTGTGTTCAGATGACTTCAATTCCTGCTTTGCAATGTTTCTCATGACTCAATTTGACAGTGTGTGTCATTGCTGCCACCCTGCAAAAGAGCAACTGTTGAGGTCTCAATTAAAGACTGAGCCGTACCGTAGGGGGTCTTTCCTAATCGTCACATCATTGTTTACCTGTGCACATACTGTACTGAAATACCTCTTTTTGCTTTCTGTGATCTGATACGCTTTCAAATCATTTGATTGATTGAAAGTGCTTGCTGTGTTTTTCATGAATGGAGAGACTTTCTTTCTCTGCTTTATTGACCATTTCATTGAACGAGAATATATTTCTACCCGTGGTTCATTAATACAATCGAAACAGTTTGCTTCAGGCTTGTAAACACAGAGGACTTCAGAAGATTTAGCTTGTCATTCGATGGCGCATCCGTTTTGCCCAAAGCAGAATGCCATTCTGACTTCTGTCCAGAAACACTAGAAGTCATTGACCTCATGCCTCATGACCGGTGGTTGCACTCCAGGCGAGTGCGCAGGATGCCATGACAGTGCCGCGCTCTCATTATTTACAATGTATACATTCATCTGGACAAAAATCCATAAGCTTTAGCACTAATTTAGTACCATGGTGGAAGACATAGAAATGTGCAGAAGGTCAGCGATGATGTTATTTTTATGATACATACATATTAATAGGTGGCATACGTTAAGCAGATATTTGACAAAATTGTCACTTTGATTATATACCATTTGTAATACCTCAAATTTTAGCATTAATGAGGATCAATCAAAGTGGAGAAAACCATGTCATCATGTGTTATTCCTTTGTTATGATATATTTGGTTCTCACTCCAGAAAACAACCATTTCTTAGCATCTCTCTCATCAAAAGATGGTTAGTACACAAATGTACAATTAGGTAGTATTTGAAAGGACTTGTGAATGTGGATAAGATGCTGAGAGGGGCGTAATGGAGTGTGTAAAAGACTTAAAGCTGTCACATCTAAGTTCCAACTCAATATGCTGTAACAGAACAAAATGACTGAAGGGAGACTGTATCTGACTGCAGTGTACATAAAATGATTGCAGTATCATCCCTCAGGTCTAAGATGTCTGTGAAATTATATTTTACCTTCCCACACCTAGTGCTTCTGCTTCACACCAGTCAATTTCTGATTGGTGATGAGTACTGCAGGCAGAACCATCCAGCTGAGATCAGAGGGTCCCTGGGAAACAGCGCCAACTTGTCATGCTTTCTGATCATACAAACATGCAGATCTCCTAATCCAAACATACGATATTATTAGTTTTCCGTCTGCAATGTTGAACAGTTTTTTGTCATATTTATGTCAAGGAGAGGTGTGCAGCTGAGGGGGTTAGATCAAACTTTTGAGTTGAGCACTAGAGCACTAAATTTGATCTGTTTTTTGAATTTAGCATCTTTAACAATGTTAATATGTTTCCTGTGCCAGTAAACTCAATTTAACTGGCCTGTGCTGACAGGAAGTATGCAGATGATGCGCTTATATAAAAAGATCAATATTCAGACTATGCCATGTGTTTTACACAGTCTGATTTACAATTGAATGACTGCAATTAATCACCCCTACAACTGCTACTATCGGATTTAAAATTCCAGAAACAAGCTGTAAATACCTTTAAAATTCACTAACAACTTTATTAAGGCAGTGTCTGGAAGCTAGAATTCAAAGACCAATAACCCTTCAGGGACATAAAGGTATGAGCCAGGAAGACTTCCCCACTCCTCCTATATATAGCTCATAGCCGTAGCAGGTTTGTCTGAAGCCGGACTGTGTGGGAGGGGTTACAGGGAGGCCTGTTCTGAGGCCTGGACACACAAGGACAGGCCTAACAGTGCGATAGGTCTGTGATAGGTGGGTAAATATAGAAGAGAAAAAACACAGGATTGCACATCATTGTCTCATAGTGTAGCCTATATTCCTCATGGGAACACTCAGTCCAGCTCTGAGTTCTCCTCCCAGTCCATAATGCAACTGGGGAAGTCCCCCTTTCTCTCTCTCTCTCTCTCTCTCTCGGCCCCTCTCATCTTTGCTGTGGCTATAAAGCCCATGGTGATGCCAAACAAACTATGTTTATTTACAGCATTTGCTTTCTAAATTAAGAGCTGATTGTACTAACAGCTGAGATCTGAACGGGCCGATATGTTCCAAAGAGATATGAGATCATGTCATGGTTATTTTATGCACATTTACATTAAAACTGATGAATTTGTAGGCTAGAGTGCACACAGGGTGAATTTAGTTCTTGTTCCTAATGGATGATTCACATTTATCACACAGCAGGAAAAGGACATTGTAAAGGATGTGTGCCACAGTGTAATCTCCAACAATTGTCAGTTCAATTAGCTGTAATTGTGCATAGCAGCTAGCTATGCATTGTTGTTCATGCAGGAGCTAGTTATCATCATTCAGGTTTTGTAATTAACAAAGAAAAAAGGGAAGACAGAAAGGTAGATGGTAATGAAGATAGAGCAGAAAAAACAATGCTAAGAGGCATTCGCTGTGCTTGTGGCTGGAGATGAAATCAAAGCTCAGGTTGGAAACATCGGACAGCTCAAATATCTGTGTCTGAAGTTACTATTAGCATCTAATGCAAAGCTGTCACTCGGTGCTTATTATCATTTATCTGTGTGTCACACTTAAATTCCCAGCAGTGGTGGTACTTATTGAGACGGAGGATGTATTGACTGACGTGCATCCAGAAATAGCTACACCGTTGGTCTCTATTGAACATTTTATTGAGCATGTATAACTGGCTGCCATCAGCCCTAGTGATGAGGTCTCTTGATTGGTTTGCAGCCACCTCGGTCCACTTCCATTATTCATGTTATCAGATCATTAAGCACATACACTGACAAAGTTACATTTTGTTCATTTTTTTTTTCTTTTACAGAGGAAGAAGAAAGAGGAGATGATTTCATCTCCGCCCTCAGGGACAGATCTCACATCGACGAGACGCTGCGGCTTGCAACTGAGGAAAAATCAGGAGACTATGCAGGTGAGGACCAAATATTCATTAGAAGTGTTTTTATAAAGCTTTATGCTCGCTTGTACTGTATCTGACAAATTGAAGTTACCTCAGTGAAGCATGTCAAGCAGTTGAATACTGTGTTATCCTTTGAATCTGACTCCCCGATTCCTCAACTTTGACATTTGTTTTGCAACACATTTCTGCACCATTTTAGATCTCTTGCCTCTTTTTAGATCTCTAACGTCTTTATCATCCTTTCCCCTCTCTTATCTTGTTCCTTCAGGGGCCATACAGCGGTTGCGGAACGTCTACCACTCATCCATCAAGCCGATGGAGCAGGCCTACAAGTACAATGAGCTGAGGCAGCACGAGATCTCAGGTATCACAGAAGCTTTGGCCACGTCTGCACTTTGGTCTGATGTGTGGGTTTCTCTGTTTGGGTTGCTTTGGTGACTGATTTGTTGACTTGTTTGTACAAACACATCATCCTCACACCGTCAACCGATACATAACAGAAGGATCTTTTTTTCCATTGTAGGGGATTTCATCGTATGTCACTTTTTTTTTTTTTGGGGGGGGGGGGGGGGGGCTCTCAGAGTCACTGTTATGTGAGGGTACTCTTTTTTTTACTTGTATGAGTACCTTTAGAGGTAATTTGTAGGCTTTTAGGGACAGAAATAGTAACAATATACCTTATGTAGTCATTATCTCTCCATTCATGCTCCTTAAAAATATTTCTTCCCCTTTTCTTCTATTCATTGACATACTTTTTGAAATGATTTTTAAATGACTGTGTAGAGTTTCTTCACTGTAAGCTCAGCAAGGACAAACTCTACTTTCCCACAATGATGTGAAGCTCGCCCTCTTGTGGCTTTTTAGGCTTAGCATGCTTGCAAACTTGACAAATATCACTTGAATCATGCTTCTAATTGAAAATATATTTTTAAAAGACAGTAAAAAAACAAACGGACAAACGATTCACCTTATCACCCGACTACAAAAATGCATACCATCCATTTGCAGACGGACATGTTTGACACATCAGGTCAAATATGGGACTCGATTCCCACCCGTTCATCCACATTGTTACTCTACCCCTCCCTGTTGTTACTAGACCTCACACCCTCACTCCTCACTCTCCTCCACCTCCTATTCCCTTCGCCTCTCTTTACTCCACCCTCTCCTGTCCCCATCCCCTCCACTCCCCTCATCTAACAGCCTACCCTGGACGAACCCTGGGGGACTCATCCGCAGGTTGGTGTGGGCGGGGCTTACCTGTGCATGGCACAGCCTGAAGTGCTCAGCCCCTTACTCTCCCCCTTCATTTGTCCTCATACATGTGTGAGCCACTCAGACTAATTAATACTGCACTGCTCTCTGTGGGTCACACATTTCAAGCATGTTTCACTTTGGGTGACACCCAGGTGTACCAGCCCAGATTGGGGCCTATAGTCAAAATGATCCATAGGTGAAAGGTTCAACCCAAACAGAGCAAAATGGATTTACTCTTTCTTGATTTAGAATCGTTTAGAGTTTCAACCAAAGCTCCATAATTTAAATTCCATATTAAAGAAGTAAAAGGGAAGAAATGTAAATGAAACAAGTTTTAGAAATTTTAGGATTGATAGTGTATTTACAGAGAGAACAAGCATTAAGTTGCGTAGGGTATGAAATGTAAAATATAGAGGGGGTTGCATGTGCAGTTCTGGCTTTAGCAAAGGACACATAGGTGTGAGACACTGGTGGGAGAGGATGGTCAGTGTTCGGCTTGTAGGTAATTGACTGACTTTTTGTCAAACTTTGGTATTTTTTTATCAATTTCAAAGCCACTAGATTCAGAGGTGTTTTGATGAGGACATTTTCTCTTTGTTCTTCTTTTGTTTTTGTTCTTTTGATATTTGTATCCTCGTCGTCTTTTGAATTCATTCAGCTTTGGACCAGTAGGTTAAAACAGAACTTGACTGCACCCTACCACCCCAACACCATGTCCACTCACAACACACATGGCAGCTTGTTATGAGACACGCAGCTTGCTCTGAAAGCCTCGCAACTGAGGAGTCAATGGCACTGCTTTGACGTGTGTCCCTGAGTTATGGCTGTATCACTTTGTTGAGACTTTTCTTATGCTAATAAAGAAGCATAACAGCTTTGACGCGCTTTTCTTTGCTCATCTTTCTTTTTATTTGCTTTCTTAGTCTTACAAAACATTTCTCTGCGCTGCTCATTAAGAGTGACAGTGCTATCCTGACGTGCCTCTACTGTATAGTTAACAACATACCTTTTGGATGGATTGTATTTTGGTTAAACTATCTTTATGAGGATAAAGGAGAACGTTGCAAACATTGGCTTCTTTTGGCAACATGAACAGCTCAAGTTCTCGTGCCTTCTCTTCTCAGCCGCAAATAAAATCCCAGCATAACTGGTTAGCTCATAGTTTTTCATATAAACAGATTTTAACCACTGTTGTCTCTCCTTGCCCGACAGATGGAGAGATTACCTCCAAGCCCATGGTGCTGTTCCTGGGACCCTGGAGTGTAGGAAAGTCCTCTATGATCAATTACCTCCTGGGCATGAACGACAGCCCGTATCAGCTCTACACAGGCATGTTACACAGATTTCCTTCTGGTTGTTTCTTTCTTTTTTTGAACTATAATTTAATGAGGATAAAGTAACCCTTAAATGTCATCATAAATCTACAGGACTATTAGAGAGGCAGCTACTTTATCTAAAAGTTACAGGATTGAGCAAGTCAGTGCAAGAATGCATAGTGGTTATCAAGTAGGCAGTCAGCATCACAGAGGTTTTGTTAAATTAGATCCATGACCTCTTAAGAAGACTCAACAATGATCTCTGACAATTTAGTACCACTGCTCAACATATTCACAGTAGCTTTGATCTATATTAATGTTAATGATGATATTCCATAACTGCTGGATTTGTCAATTTGCTAAATTTTCCGTATCAACTTAAAAGCTGATGATATGACAACATCAAGAAAATAATTTATTGCAGGTTTAAACGTTTCCCCTGTGCATACACATCATGGGATTCTCTTTCTTTAACATGTTTCCGAATCTGTTCCTCTTCTTGGTACTACCCTTGTTAATTTCTCCCTCTTGTTTTCCACAAATTTGTCTTCAGGAGCAGAGCCTACTACCTCTGAGTTCACTGTAATTATGCACGGCGAGAAGATCCGCTCTGTTGAGGGTATTGTGATGGCAGCAGACAGCTCTCGGTCCTTCTCTCCCTTGGAGAAGTTTGGCCAAAACTTCTTGGAAAAACTGGTCGGTATTGAGATGCCCCACAAGCTGCTGGAACGCGTGACTTTTGTGGACACACCAGGAATCATTGAGAACCGGAAACAGCAGGAGAGAGGTAAAACAGAGTTTTACCTTCAGTTTGCAGGTTTTCACAAATCACAATTCAAATACGAAGCAGCTGGCTGCAACTCAGTATTCAGTGATTTATTTATTCTCTTCTTCCAGGCTATCCCTTCAACGATGTTTGCCAGTGGTTCATTGACCGCGCTGACCTGATCTTCGTGGTGTTTGACCCCACCAAGCTGGATGTTGGCCTCGAGCTGGAGATGCTCTTCCGGCAGTTAAAGGGTCGCGAATCCCAGATCCGCATCATCCTAAACAAGGCTGACAACCTGGCCACCCAGGACTTAATGAGAGTCTACGGAGCGCTCTTTTGGAGCTTAGCTCCCCTCATCAATGTGACCGAACCCCCTCGGGTCTACGTCAGCTCCTTCTGGCCATATGACTATGCACCCGATACCAGCCGTGAGCTCTTCAAGCGAGAGGAGATCTCCCTCCTGGAAGATCTGAACCAGGTGATTGAAAACCGCATGGAGAACAAAATTGCCTTCATCCGCCAGCATGGTATCCGCGTACGTATCCACGGCCTGCTGGTAGACCGCTACGTCCAGACCTTTAAAGAGAAGATGAGCTACTTCAGTGACCCTGAACTAGTCTTCAAGGAGATTGTGGACGACCCAGACAAGTTCTACATTTTCAAATCCATCCTAGCCAAGACCAACGTCAGCAAGTTTGACCTGCCCAACCGCGATGCTTACCGTGACTTCTTTGGCGTCAACCCGATCACCAACTTCAAGCCCTTGACGGCTCAGTGCTCCTACATGGGAGGCTGTCTGCTGGAGAAGATTGAGCGTGCAATCACCAATGAGCTGCCTGCCCTTCTGAGCAGCATTAACTCTGGGAAGCAGCCTGGCCTGTCCTCCTGCGAGACAACTGGCTGTGGTGAAAAGCCAAAGAATCGCTACCGGAAGAACTGACGAAAACAAAATAACTTGAGTGGGGAAAGTAAGAAGAGAAGGGGTCTGGTGGAAGCCAACCTTGCTTTTGTCACAATGCCTGTATTGTTGAAGAGACAGAGGAGAATAGTGTTTGTTTGTTTTTCTCAGGAGAATATTGGGAGGTGCATTTAGGGACTCTAGGAATGAGGCAGATAGAGGGAGGGAAGGGTCATTGTTTGATAAGGCAGCTTAAGGACAGAAGTGCTGAAGAAACATGCCACTGATCACTGAGTTTTGTTAAAATACATGCTCTCCTCTTTCCCTTGCACAATCACTTTGGACTGTCTGGGATTTGGGGGTTGGGAAAATAATGATGTGAAGAAACACAGAAATGAAAAAAGTAAGATCAAATAAAAATTGAAAATCCCGAGACTGAAAACAGTCAAATACCAGCTCCCTTGTATGTGAATAAAATGGGAAAAAATAGAAACAGGACTTGCAAATTTGTGTTGTAAAATCTTGAGAATTTCATTGCAGAGAGTCAATTCCATAAGCTTCAGAAGCTGATTTTGAAGTAGCCTTTTTGTGGGTGCTATACATGTTTGTCATCCAAACCTTTGCTTTTGATATAGATTAACTTTAACATTGCATGGTAGATGTTATTTAACAGATGCATGCATGTCCTGCTAATATAAAGTTTAAGTAATATTTCCTCGTGTAACTGCAGCATGAACCAACCCTGCCATGCAACAAATAAGGCCGTTTTTCGTTTTTGTTTTATACGCTCATCAGTCCTGGTTGTTGACAACCTATGAAATGAGCACTGTGATGGAAGCAGAGGTCAGGGTTCAAGGGTCAGTCTTCAGAGCGGGGTGGGTATGTTCATTCTGCTTCACTTCTTAACTGTTCTTACTGTTTCTGTCTTCGTCTATAAATTTTGTCTTTGGCAGAAATTCAATACTGTGTTATGATTTATTTCTTTTCTTGAACAATAAGCTTCCCAGCTTTTAGCTGAATGACCATAACAAATAACACATGAAGAATGTGTTGGATTATAGCTATCTTTAGCCATTTCTTCTGCAGGATAGCAAGCTATTTATTGATTTGTATGTAAAAACTTTCTAAATGGGCATTGAAGTAGGCTGTGTATGTGTACTGAACACCAACTGCTCTACAATTTTACTACCCCTGCAAGATTGTTATTTCCCAGCGTGCGAAAAGTGAGCTTAAGGTAAAGGTAAAGTGGAGGACTCATGAGTTGACCCCTGACCTCTGTGGAAAGAAGGAAGAATTAAATACTGACTTTTACACCCACAACGATGTTGCAGTGTCATAGCTGCAAAGTCATATGTAAGCCTACCTCAATGAACTTCCCAGAAGTGTGGCATGGCTATTGCTTAAAATAGTTTGACATTTTGGATCGGCTTCACTTCCAACACAGGGATATTTCTTGGGCAGTAACTTCGTCACCATGGGTGAGAGTGGTGTCAATCTACCAAAATGTCAAACAATCCTCAATGGATGGATAAGTAGTAGGCCTAGGTTTCCAAAAGGTTAACTCATGGACAAATGCACTTCCAGTTCCCTCTGTGTCCTCCCTCACTAACCCCATTGTGAAGAGTGTCTACCCAACTAAAACCTGAAACATAGCTAATTAAAAAGAAAAGAAAACTAACAAACACACACATTGCTTAATTTTCTCTGTTTATTTGAGTGTGAGTGCTCCACTGGATGTTAGTACGTTTACACTGCAGATCCAAAAGATGCCCACTAGAGAGTGCTGTGTAAAAGTGTAAAAAGTTATACAGACCACGATCACTCATCGTGGCAACCATTTATAGTGGTAGAGTGATAGCGTGGGCTAATTACGTTGTGTGGTTGTGCTTTTGGTATATCTCAGCATTAATCATCTTAATTTACCTGTGAATTAGATCTGGAATGGATGTGTGTCCCATTTAAGTAGTTGTGGATTCACTTTTTTTGTTTTGCAATCAAATTTAAATTAATCTTGGCCCAACTTTGGAAGCTTGATGATAAAGAATAAAGATTTCTGATTGACTATAGTGAAACTTTGTGGTTATTGTGATAAAACTATCAATCCTTAATCAGGGAGACTCAAAAAAAGAAAACAGATCAAAACTTGTACCAAACTGATTTTCTTCACTATCTCTGTTTCTCTCCTTTTTGCTTGGCCTACAGCTCTTTATCACAACTCAATCTACATCCATTTCCTTGTTTCTTTTCTCGGAAGGTTCATTCTCTCACTTTTGGATTTTCAATGACTTTATCCTACAGCTGCAATGCACCAACAGTTTGTCGTGACTGGAAGTGGGGAGGAGACTGTGTGTGTGTGTGTGGTAGATGGAGTTTGTATGTCTGGGTGTGAGACCCTGAGACAAACTGACTTCAACCTGCAAGTGTTTCTCCGTGAGTGTATTTCCACTCTTCCTCAAACATTATTTTGCATATATCCTGAGGAGACTGCAAATGGAAAATAAAGTTAATAAGTGCTCAAACACTCTTAAGCATAGACCAAAGCCAATTGCCGTTAATGCACACACACCGAGGCTTTTTTTTGTGTGTGTGTACACAATATTTTATACACAATGACCTCAACAAAATGCTGCTTTATGTTCGCGTTTTCAAAACAGTCCTTTATGATTGAACAGATGTTGGCATCAAGAAATGCATGGATCATATACAATAAACACGTAGCGTAGAGGGCAGTTTTTTTTACCAGCAGCAGAGTAAATGCTTTGAAAATCACCAGTTCAACACAAAGTTTTATTATAAAACTCAGCATTGCAAATTCCACTCTGATCCAAATGTGGAGGAAATCCTGCCATCTTGCAAGAAGTCCACTGTCCCTCTTGGGGATCTTCTCAATATACCGTTCAACTGTGAAGCCACAGTGCTGACTACAGAAGGCTGTTGTTTAATATTTCTCTCAGCTCACTGATTTGAGAAGAAACCTAATGCTTTATTCTCAAATCAGTGAGCTGAGAGAAACAACAGCCCTCTGTAGTCAGCAAGTTCTACTAGACTGTGCTGCACATATATACTGTAGGATTATATTGTCTCACCCCTGAATAGTCACCGTTTTTTATCATGTTGATGGTGCTGAAATATTGCAGTGTGCATTAATATTAATGTAATCCAATATTCCTGTTAGATTTGAGTGTCTAGAGCAGTTTAGTGACCTTGTATTTAGGATACTTTGTCTCCTGTGGCTTCAATAAAATACAATTACATCATTGTATTCCATTTCCCTCAAAAGAGAGCTATTCATTTTCCTCTGTTGTCATCCCGAGGCAGATGTTTGCATCCATACAAAATGAAGCAGAGTTTATTCTAATTGTAAAGGAGAGTGGGAAACACGAGAAGGTGGGGAGGGGGTGCGCTCATTGCGGTCAAAACAAGACGTCCCCACCCTTCTCTACAGTGCGCGCTCCTTACCTTTCACGCTTTCTACCAAGCGCGTGCACGTACCTCGACCGTACCCCTCCCCTCCCATCAATAGTGAGTCCTTTCTTTCCTCAGCTCGCCAAACACACACAGCAGCAGCATCATCAAGTCGAATGTAACTACCAAAACGGAGGCACATCATTATTTCTTTCAAAACAAATTACTTTGATTTTCACTTGTTGGGTTGAGGCTCACATATTTTAGAGCCTTTTCCTTAGCCTGGCAATGTATGGCTGAAGTTTGAATATATATTAAGAGGACGAATGACTAGTACGTAGGCTGCGGTGTAGATTGCCATCAAACACACGTGTGATTTTATTTTGAAAAGAAAAGCGGAAATCATCTATATTTTGTTTTTGCGTACTTCACACGCGTATGTACACGCACGCACACACACACACACATGCACACATACTTGCGGCTGGACGGCTGTAAGCGCACAGAAGATGGTGGCGGCTGCTGCCACTGCGATGCCCACTGCGCCTGGATAGCACGCACAACAGATTTCATGCAGGTGTCGAGGCTGCTGCAGCGCACACACACTGGTCAACTAGCGGCGATAAGACAATCTCACTTCACTGTGGACGATGCAGGGAATGGAGAGACTGGACGATGCAGCAGCCCTAAGCCATTATTTGTCTAGGGTATAAGTGGAATTCTTTGGAGGTATGGATGTGTTTTCTAGTGTATCCCGTGCAATTTAATTCGAGTGGCTGGATCACGGCAGCACTCAGCCTTGACCTGTGGGACTCTTGGTGTGGGGGGCGTGGAGCGGAGGTGGAGACCTTTTAATTAGCCCGACTCCCTCTGGGCTTTCGTCGTCTGCCATTTAGAAGGGGGTCTGAGGAGCCGTGGCCAAAGTTTACTTCAGAGGGGAAAAAAAGACAATACTTCATGTAGTCAGCTCAAGGCTGCATTTTCTTTTTTCCCCAACCGTCTGGGTGACAGATAATACAGCCGGCATGGTCAGCATATCTGGACAATTTCCTTGGGGCGCACTGTGACGATGAATTGGCGACATTTGGTGTGTGACTGTGGAAACCAAAGCTATACCGCTCAACGCTGATCCAGGACCGGTTGGTGCATAGCCCTGGAGGAGCGCGTTTACACACGAGTCGCTGACAGCTAAGCTCTTGCAATAGAACTGTTAATCGGGTGTTTTCTGCGCACCACGTCTCCTGCGGACCTGTGTGCACACGATCCCTTGTGGGTTTGGAAACGCAGCGGTTGCGGAGACTCCCGACTAGAAAGTCAGGAAAGGACGGGGCTCCGTCCACGGAAATAGTCGCGATTAGGCCCTGCAGCAAGGAGCGTTTGGGTATAAATAAAAGCGCTGATGGCAGTTTTTGTGCTCAGGTTCCTATTATCTGGAGTTGATGTGTGTCTTAAAGTTCAAAGCTGACTTTTTGTATCAAGACGAGAAACAGCATGTCGAGTCAAAGCAAACACAGAGGAGGATGCGTTTTGTAGAGTTGTCAACAAAACGTGGTGAAGGTATATCAGTAGTTAAACTGAGAGGAACAGAAAACTGAGAATTGACATGCACCAGTTATGAAAGTGACTGAAGCGGGCTCTTCATCACAACAAGACATTTTATATTCCACACGCAGTTGCGACATCTGAAGGACACATTGATTCACTTCTTTGGCTTTTTTTTTTTTTTTTTTAACTTTCCCCGTTTCGCACATTCTTTTGTAATTCTCAGAGTTTTCCTAAATACTTTTCCAATGAGTGATGCAGTGTGTAGGCAGCTGAGTGGGTTTGGACAGGAACCGAGAAAGCATCGAGTGAACCTTGCAGTCTCAAGTGCGCCAAAACAGACGCGAACGTAGAGGAATGCAGGGACTGACGTCAAGAGGGGCAATAATGAGCTTTTCAAAACCTTTGAAAGGTCTGCTGGCGTTTCTACAGCCACTACACTGCTAACTGAGTGGAATTTCCTCAAACGGTTTTTGTTTGTGCTCTTCTTTTAGTTATTTTGTTTTACTTTGAAGAGTAAACAATCATTGTCCTAGTTATACAGCCTCCCCAGACCTTGCCTTACTACTTTATCAACTTTATCTTTGCAATAACTGTCCTTTCTGCATTGTCTTTGATTTTTTTTTTTTTTGATAGATTAAAAAGCAACATGGCATCCCCCCAACATCAACAACTGCTGCCTCGCAACACAGAAGTGAGCTGTGACTCAAGTGGAGATGGAGGCGTCTCAGTGAGGATTGGCAGTAGTGTCAAACACAAGCATGGAGGCGGGCCGCTGGGTTCAATCGGGGGAGGCTTCATGGGGGGATCCAAGCACTGCAAGTACAGCATTTCCTCCAGCTGCAGCTCCGGAGAGTCCGGTGCCAAGAGGCTCGTGGTCAAGAGCAATCGCGCACAGAAGAAGATGCCTCAGCTTTTTGAGAGATCTGCTGGTCATTTCTGGGACCCAAAGTTTGACTCTTCAATCCTGGAGGAGGCCTGTAGGGAACGGTGTTTCCCTCAGACCCAGCGGCGCTTCCGCTATGTGCTCTTTTACCTGGTTGCTGCTGCCCTCCTCTGGGGATTATACTTTGCTGCCAACCCTTCCCGCTGTGACAGGACTGCCTTTCTCCTTCCCACTGCATCCTTCCTCCTTTTCTGCCTCCTTCTCTTCCTCTTAACTTTTACTAAGCTCTACTCTCACTGCTACAATCAAGCGTCTCTGCTGCTCATCATTGTAACCTTCACCTTGACTCTGGCCCCCCAGATCCAGACATCAAGCTTCAGGGACCCGGAGACTCCCTCACCTGCACTCGATGGGGAAGAGTTCAGTGGCATGGGACCCACATACAACCTGTCTTATGACAAACCCCTGGGAGGTAACGCCTGGTCCCCTTGTCTGTCTCCTGTTGGCACCTTCTCCCTCTGTATCGAGGTTCTTCTGCTGCTATACAGCGTTCTCCATGTTCGTCTCTATGCTTCTGTTTTGCTTGGGTTTCTCTACTCTGTCTTTTTTGAGAGTTTGGGCTGGCTGCATCTCACCCAGGCAGGGGAAAGCTGGGGCTTAGCCTCTCAATCAGACTGGGATACGTTATGTTGGCTTGGCCCAGCCAAAGCTCTGCTTCATCTCTGTGCCCACGCCATCGGCATCCACCTATTCATCATGTCTGAGGTGCGGTCACGCAGCACCTTCCTTAAGGTGGGACAAGCTATCATGCATGGCAAAGATCTGGAGGTGGAGAAAGCCTTGAAGGAGCGAATGATCCACTCTGTCATGCCGAGACTTGTGGCTGATGAACTGATGAAGCAGGGTGACGAGGAGATAGGTGATAATTCTGTCAAGCGATACTCCACCAGCGGTGCAGCAGCTGTCATCTCCAGCCCTAAAAACAATAAACGCAAGAAAACCTCCATCCCTCGTGGCCAGATTATCTTCAGACCCTTCAACATGAAACGGATGGAGCCTGTCAGCATCCTCTTTGCAGACATTGTGGGTTTCACAAAAATGTCTGCCAACAAATCTGCTCATGCCCTCGTCGGACTTCTAAATGACTTATTTGGACGTTTTGATCGACTTTGTGAGCTCACTGGCTGTGAAAAGATCAGTACTCTGGGAGACTGTTACTACTGTGTGGCTGGTTGTCCTGAACCAAGACCAGACCATGCCTATTGCTGCGTGGAGATGGGCCTGGGCATGATTCAGGCTATTGAACAGTTCTGCCAGGAGAAGAGGGAGATGGTCAACATGAGGGTGGGTGTCCACACTGGCACTATACTGTGTGGTATCCTGGGCATGAAACGCTTCAAGTTTGATGTTTGGTCCAACGACGTCAACCTGGCCAACCTAATGGAGCAGCTGGGAGTGGCTGGGAAGGTCCACCTATCACAGGCCACTGCTAACTTCCTGGATGATCGCTACCAGCATGAAGATGGACAAGTCATTGAGAGAATAGGACAGAGTGTGGTGGCTGACCAGCTCAAAGGTAGGTGCTCCGTGAATGTATGGCTTAAATGTCCCTGCCAAGTAGAGATGTAGTGAGTTGAGCACATTTTGCTGCCTTTTCCAGACTTTGTTTGTTGAATTCCTAACAAGAATAATAGAACTCCAAAATCAGGTTCCTACAAATTGAGACGTATTGCTGCAATTGTTCCCCCACGAGCCCACACAGTTTTTTCTAGGCATTCTAAGGTGCTTAAGTTAATGTCCTGTAATGCCTCTCTGCCAGACCTAGAAGAAGTGTGACAGCCTATGCCAGCATATTTGCAGTTCATCCCCCAGGTGGATCTGACCAGTGTCAGGGGAGCATTTGCATTGGTAAAGATCGACACCGTGTTTTAGCATCGTGTAACCTTTACAGATGGGCTAGCAGTGGTTGGAGTCTGCTACGTGCCCTCTGTGGTGTTGGTGTTAAGTGACTGTATCACAGACGGACGCCATCTTCTTTCCCCTCCTCCCCTCCACCCTGTCTATTCCTACTCTTTGTTCTCTTGTTCAATTACGTTGCCTCCCAGACGTCCTCAATGTGTCCGGTTCTCTTAACCTCACTGTGAACCCCAGGGATGGCTTTACAACTTAATGCAACTATCACCTTCTCTAATAGAGATTTGCCTACAGCTTTATATTCAACCCTCTATCTTATCCTCCCTTTTAGTTGCCTCTAAAATTCTTGAGTGCAGCTTTTATTTGATACATCAATGCAAATCGTTGTAACTAAATGTTGTCTTAATGGCTCTTTTCATCATTCAAGGCTGTAAGTGAAGTGGCAGTGTCTGACTAAGGCAGTGCAGATGGTGTTGCCCCTTTGCATTAGCATTTCAGGTTTATTTTTGTTTCAATAGATGCTGAAATGTGCTTCCTTGGAGGCTGCATGTCTGATTTTGTACAGAGCAGGCATGGATTAATATGAACTGGTAATTCATGCAATTCGTATGTGCACATTAATAATTTGTACGCATAAAGGTACCAAAACATGTTATTCCTGCGGGACTCTGCACAGATTTCCATTATTTTGGCCTTGAAGTAAATGCTGTGACCTGTCAAGGAAACAAGATGGAGCGAAAGTGCCTCTTGTTTACCAGCCCGCAGGAGTGATTTATGGGCCTACATTTTCCCCTCATCTGTTAAATTAATGAGTGACTAACACTTTTGCTCTTGTCCTTCTTTATTATATTGTGAGGATAAATGTGTTACCCACAGTGTTATCACCACACCTCACCTCCTCCTCCTCTTTCTCCTCGACTTCTTTCTTACCTCCGTCATGTATTGAGTTCCCCTTTTCAGATGTATCCTCTCCCTCTAGATCTGCTGTGCCAGTGAGAGCCCTAGCTGTCAGGAGAGTTGTGATCCAGTGTTGTAAAAGTCCCTTCCACGGTGTGGCTCAGTCTGGGTTAATCACTTGGTATTGCAGCCAGGCATGGATCCTGGCTGGGGCTGGTCCCTGTTGTCTGACTCTGAAGTAATTTGCTCTGACCAATGCCCTGATTGCTGTGTCCTTTTTGAGACAGTGGGATGTTTCACTTTCTCCCAAATAGTTTTTGGCTTATGAGTGATTTTGCAGTTCCACTATAACTTCAGGCTGAGGCTTTAGCGTCAAGTTTATTTTGTCTCATCCTGTAGGTGCACATGTTTAAAAGTGTATACTTATTTTTAGCTTCTCACTGTAATTATAAGCTATTTGTGGCTCATTGTAGCAGAGGTTCACATGGGGTGCAACCACGTGTGGTCAGCTGAGTGTTGCAGCTGCATCCTGTTGGCTCCATAGCACTGACCCGAGGCCTGTGGGTTTAGTAAGAAATGGAGATGTTGTGGCTCTGTTCACATCCCACTGGGTGATAGCTGGTGTTTGAGGTGAATTAAGACAGTTTGACAAGATAGTTTTGAGGCTCTAACTAATGATTCATTTAATATTTTCATTACCACTTAATCTGAATTTGTGATTTTTCTGATAAATGTATTCATTGTTTAGTCTGTTTGATTGATATACGATTTATTCAATGTCAAATTGGTTGATTCATTGTCTGATGATTAACAAATTAATTATTTCAGCACCAGTTGGCTTAAAGAACAACAGAAAATCTGCAAATTGTTTACCCTTATTGCTTAATCTGCTAATTATTTTCTAAATTTTTTGATTAATCTATAAAATGTCAGAAAATACTAAAAAATGACGGTTAAAGTTTGGTCCAGAGATATCAAGTTTACATGATATGAAACGTAGAAAAGCAACAAACCCTCACAGTGGAGATGCTGGAAGTAGAGAATCTTTGGTATTTTTGCTTAAAAAAATAAAATGATCGCGGTGCATTGCAGACGCATTTTAGATATCTAGCATGCTTAACATTTGGGTCTGTTGGGGAGTTTGTCACAAGAGAGCACAAGACACGGGTTGAGGGGAAACCTGGCGGAGGGGTCGCCTGTAGCCTATACCTGTGTGTGTGCTATGTGTTACATTTGCAACAGGGACCAAAGTTGTTGTTGCACCTAGGGTGTTGGATATTTTCGTGAACAAACATAACACAGTGACTGGTCTTCATAGGGGAAATAGTAAAGACATCAGAACAGTACGGAGATCTTTGAAAGTCGTGTACTGTGAACATGGTTAGTTGCAGCTCTGTCTTTAACCGCAGCACAGCCCGTTTGAAGGATGCACTGAGACAATCTAAGTGTGTTTGTCTCTATAATGGGCTGCATGTGAGGCCAGACGTTGTTGTGCATTTTTCCTTTCTGGAAATGGGAGCTCTGTTTCCATGGAAAGTACCGTCTATGTCGTTCCTTATGTGCTTAATGTAGACTGATTGCTCCTGCAGAAGATTATCCCTTCAGAGACTGTCAGTTTGGTCCTATTATCTCTTTGCTGATGACAGAATCCCCACAGAGAGACAGAGGTGGTCTTCTCTCTTTCAAGCCTTTGTTTCCAGGGGAAATTAAATTGTTTGTGTGCTGATGTTGTCTAAGGGTTGTGTGTGTTACAATACAACTGGAGGAAATGTAGTTATTAGAGTCATTACCAGTTGTTGCTTGAATGTGTAACAGTACAGCACTGTTGCATATCCCAGCTGCTTCAATTATCTTTGACTACAATGCCAAGATACATGCTTTCGGTGTCTGAGTGGCAGGCATTAAATCATCTAGAATGTTTTATTTTTTTTTAAATATAAAAATGTATTAAATAACAATGTGAAAGGGAAATCTTTTGTGTAGTGATGAATCTGCAGAAAATGATCACCTGAATCTGCAGCTCACCCTCGGCTTTACGGAGCGAGTTTCAGACCATTGTTTATCTGTTCAGCCACAACCTTACTGTTCTGCTTCACTCTCACCGCTCTCTCATATCGTTGCCACAGCTGGATGTGTAAATAAGCAACTGTTTGCAGACAAGTTTGCTATAAGTGACAATATGTCATTGCTGTGTTCACAACTTGTCTCCACTGCAGTTTTTGAACACTCGTCATGCTTTTGAGAGTTTTCCTGTTTTGCATGCGTCTTCCTTCCTCTCACCTGCTGTGAATTATTCAGACCCTCGCTGTAATGCAGTGTGAATGAGTGAAAATGTATTAACCCAAATGTACACTAGCTCCACTTTGATGATCAAAAGAACATTTCGATTAATATGAGCTTCTGACAGCTATAATTGCACAGCCCCTTTCCACTGTACTAATTATGTGCTGGGTTCTCAGTAACCCGCCGCCTCAAGGTAAGGCATGTTCTCAGATTCCATTTGAAATTGTGAGTATGACCTTTTCTAACTTAACTGCTGAGCGAAGCTGTGCCAGGCGGCTACGTACAGTATATCCCATCCTGACCTGCTCTCTCGCCTCTTTGCCCTGCGAGAGATTTATAATATTGCAAGACTGTAATCTCCTTGGCTAAAGTGATTAATGTTAGTAATTCTCCATCATCATATCTTCCCACACTGGCCTGGTGTTATACCGACTCCAAGAACACACCAGCCACCTGCCAGCCAGTCGTTTGTATCACAGCAAAATTTTGTTGATTGCCTATAATGAGGCTGTCATGGCTGTGCTTATTTATGATGAGGCAACAAGAGAGGGTTTCACGTCATATGGATATTAAAGAGAACCAACAAAGACCAGAGGTTGTGCTGGCTTTAAAACGGAAGATAATTTGTATTCTGGTCCACGATATGAATTTATCCCGATTCCTTGCCCACCTTTTAAATCTTCAGAACAATAATGGATTAGCTACATTAGGACTGATTTGAGCACAGTACAGAATGTAGCTGCAAATGGTCCTTGTGATGAATATTCTGTGTCCCATCACTCTGCCCCTATTACTTCATGTTCTGCAGCAGGTATGGTTATCGGGAGAGCCATTTGTATTTTTGGGGAGACTCGCATGCATACACACACACACACTCGCACTCACACATCCCTTACCCTGTGAATGATATTCCTTAGGGATGTACTGTCATACAGCAAAGTGTTCAGTATTCGCCTGAGGCTCAGTGGAGAAAAACTTATAATGGCTGCTGTCTCTGACCTTGAAAAATTATAAATGAGGCTGCTTTTGAGTTTATACTTAAAGACGCAGGGATGGAGGAAAGCGAGAGGGAACTAGACAGGGAAAGTAGATGAACTGCCCTTAACTGTGGTCCAATTCTGTTTTTTGGTCCAAAGGGTTGTGGCACTAGAGAGCAGAACCGCGGCAGCGTTGCCTAACCACCATTACATTAAGCCACGATGTATGTGTGTGTGTGCTTGCGCTGTCAGTCAACACTCTGCTGTACTTGACAAAAAGTTAAATGATTTGGCTTTACACCCTAATATATCCACAGCTGTCTTCTCCCCCTGCCAACAAATCAAATACCTGGCATAAATTTCGTCTAGACTCTTGAGTCTAAATCAGTATGCAGAATCAGCATTCAGCCCTTCTGTAGAAAGACAGAGGGGGGTTGATAGTGAAGTAGAGTGGCTTACTACAAGGAGGGGTAGACATGGAGCTAAAGCATGTTTGACCTATGGT